CAGCAAAGAAGTGCAGTTCAGGTAAAAGGAACAGCAAGTCCAAAGAGCCGCAGGTAAGAGAACATAGCTCGGCACCTCTACAAGTAGTCTAATAATAAATCTAAAGAACACATTCAAGATATGGAGACATCCACGTGAAATGCCCAGCAGACAGAGGAAAATGCAGGTTGTGAGCTACCAAATTCAGATACACAATATACTTTCAACCTCGTCTTAGAATCATTGTTGGTGGATATCCAATGATTAGGTAGACTCCTCCCATCACTTCTGGTTAAAGTCAAATCCTGGGCTATAGAAATGAGCAACAAAACTCTAGTGGGACCATGCTCAGCTGGTGATACAGTCCCTGTCTAAAGACCACAGCCACCGACTCAATTCTGGTAGTTGACTGCCTTGCTTGAATGTCAGTTCTAAGTGGAGATTTTCCTTCTCTTTAAGAAAAGCTGAAAATCCAAATTTTATGTAATTATTTCCCATTTTTAAATAGATAATTAACTACATTTAAAAGCAAAACATTGTGACAGCCAAATAAATGTGTCTGACAGATTTCTGCAAGGGACATCCATATGGCAATTAGAGCAAGCCTGCTAACTCTTACAACGCTTTTCCCACTACTTCACAGGATGCTCAGTGGGTATCTTGGTGGCTCCCTAAGGATAGGGACTGATTGCTTCTAAGCACTATGGGCCCAAACTTGCAGTATTTTTATGAGGCTTTTGTTTGTTTGTACATTTTAAAGCAAATTTCTGCCTCTCATTATCCCGTTAGTACAACTTGCAACATCCCTGAGACATACTACTCCCCTTCATTACAACCTAAGAAGTCAAGCTTTCAGGTAAAAAGCAAAAGTAAAACACATGGCATGAGGCCTGGTGGAATTTCTTTTTCGTTTTCGTTTTTATCAGTACCAGGGATCGAACTCACGACTGCCTGCTTGCAAGGCAGGCGCTTATGCCACTGAGCTAAATCCCCAGCCCCTGGAATTTCTAATTAATAAAACATGATAGCTGACATTTCTTTGATCTTCTTTAAAGATATCAAAGAAATGTTTGCAACCAGCGACACACTGTGTGTGTGTGTGTGTAGGGCCTAACAAATATGAAATGTAACAACAAATTATGGTAATGAACCAAATAGTTTCCATTATAAAACACCAACAGGGAGGAGGGAAGAAAAATTCAAAAGGGAAAGTAAAAGTTGCTGGCCTTTGAGAAATATCAGGCGCCTTTTAAGACATTTTGATAAAGTACTGTATAAATATTTAGCAAAGGTACAGTATAATCTTAATTCTCAGAAGCAAAATTATATTTTAACCAGCTAGCAAAAAGTTTCTCAGTAAGAAATCAGGATCTAGAAACGCTATTGAGAGTAATGCACTCTCTACATAAAAAATAATCATTTTTAAACTCAAACACACCAGTACCAGAAGCTTTAATACAGTGTTTATTAAGACACACTGTTGCTTTGGAAGCTTTTAAAATGTAGCAACATTCCCCATATAAAAACAATGTGGCAAACTTAAAAACACAAATGTTACAAAGCCTACACTACGTGACAGTAACCAAGATTTCCAAATTCCTTCCCTCCAAAGCTGAAAATAGTGGCATGTGTACCAGTAACGAGGGGTAGGGGTGTGTGTGTGTGCAGTTATTACTCAGGGCGAGCAAAGTAAAGCAATGCAAAGCAGGCCAGGTTCCTGCTGGCAGGCAAGCTCGAAATTACTTAGAGCAGTACTGTGCCAGAGCATTCCTGATCCAGTAAAACGAGCCTACTGGACACCTAAAACCGGAGGCTGACAGCAGCTCTGCCGTGAGGCCGAGAAAGCTGAAAAGTGGCCTGCTTTGACCTCCACATTAAACCGAGGTTCCTCCAACTGTGGTCTCGGAATCAGGGGGCAGGTGATTGACCTTCCAGCGGCTGGATCGTTCGGACAAGCTCTCCCCGGTTTCCCGCAGCCTTCCCACCCCCCGGAGTGAATGTCAACACCTAGGGCGGCCGAGCGCGGGGCCCCTAGGCGTGCGCGCCGGTCCGGCGAGCGGACCCGACCCAGGAGAAAGCGGCGGCGCCCGCGGGGGCTGCAGCGGGAAGCGGGTCTCCGCGCTCTCTCACCTTCTTCAGCGCTGGCACCAGCAGCCCCCGCCACTTGGGTGCGTTCTCCTCGCTGAAAAACTCGTAGGGCAGCTGCTGCGCCTGCATGGTGCCCCGGGAAGCCTTCGGCAGGCAGAGGGGCGGCGGCGGCGCCGGGAGCCGCGGGAGGGCGAGCTCGCAGCTCGGAGCGGGGCAGCGGGCCGTACACGGCCCGGCCCTCGGGCGCGGCGCTAGCCGCGGAGAGGCGGCTGAGGGGCGAGGCCCGCGCCCGGCCACCCACCCGACACCGAGCCCGGCACCAGCACCGGCCGCGGACAGCGAGCGCAGCCCGGCGGCGGCGGCGGCATCCCGTACCCCGACCGGGGCCAGGCCCCCGCCCGCCGGCGCCGCCCCGGCCGCCCCCCGCCGCCCGCCCTCGCCCTCGCCCTCCGCCGGGGCTGTGCTCCGGCCGGGCCTGGCCGCCGAGAGCAGCGGAGGGGGAAGACGCGGAGGGCGCCTGGCCTCGGCACACGCTCGCCCAGCGGGCACGCGGGGCACGCGAGGCTCCGGGCGCGTGCGGCGGGAGCCGGGGTCCCGCGGGGGAGGCGCGGCCCGAGGTCGCGGCCGGGGATCCGGCTGCCTGAGACGCCGCCGGTGCAGCGCCTGAGCTTCCACAGGCGAACTGAGCCTGCTCGCTTCTGAGCATGCGCCGCCGGGCTGCGCCGGTTTGCTCCGGGTTTTCCGGCTCCTCGTGAAGGAGGCGGGGCCGGCGCGCAGGGCTGCGAGGCCGCGCCGCCAGTGGCTGCTCCTCGGGGCTCAGGGGCGGGGCGAGAGGACCGGGAAGGCGAGCCCTGGGGACGGCCTGCGGGGGCGGGGCCGCGCGCCTCCGAGAGCCGCTCCCATTGTGTGGTCCGGCCGCCAGGGTCCCCGCCTCTCTCTGGAGCTTCTGGGCCCTTCGTTTCGGAGAGGCGTGTGTGACTGTGTACATACGCGTGTACTTTGTTCCCCACCATGAAGATAAGGGCTGCCCGGAGCATGCAATGTGTAGTAAACAGACTGTACAAAGGATAGGTTTCCCTGCTGCTCAATAGCAGAAGTGATCGCAGTGTCTCCAGTTGTTCCATGTTATCGATGTGTACGTGTTGTGTTGCTTTTGTATGTATCCAGATTCAACCTGTTCAAACCCGCTTCACTTTTAAATGTAAACTCCAAGAAGCAGTCACCTCCAGTGGAAACAGACCTCTCCTGCAGACCTCAAATCTCCAGTTTAAACCTAAGTAATTTCGCCTGTGTGTGCTAGATCCCAGTGCCCTCTTAGTGCATGCAGTCTATCGTCTTTTCTATCTTTCAGGGCTCTTTCCGCTAGATAATAAACTCCATTACTAGGAGCTATGCTCACAACAGGCACTTAGTGTTTATGGAATGCTAAAGGAGCTGTATCTATAAATTGTTACTCCATCCCAGAAATGCGGGTGTTTGTTTATAACTGTGACACTGTTTTGTTTTTTAAAGTTGACACTTTTAAAAAGTGTCAACATGACACTGCGAGCTTTATCATTCAACACTTTCTCAGGATCATCTCATTTAATTCTCATCGCAACTCTATTATTTTCATTTCACTGATAGGCAGGCAGTATAGAAAACTCATCTAAATTGAAGCTAAAATCATGTTCTGCTATTTTGGAATATAATAACCAGTATCACATAGATGAGAAATGTTTAGGATGTTTTTTGTTTTTGGTACCAAGGATCGAACTCACGACCTAGCACTTGCCAGGCAGGCACTTATGCTACTGAGCTAAATCCCTGGCCCTAGGATGTTGTTCTTAATCTTTATAAGACTTATAAGTAACAAATGCCTTAGATTTCTTTCTTTCTTTCTTTCTTTCTCCCTTCCTTCCTTTCTTCTTTTTTGAGATAGGGTCTTGCTGTATAGCCTAGGCTGAACTCAAACTCGCTGCCATACCCCCCCCCCCAGACTCTGGAGTGCTCAGATTACCACCTCCAACAGATTTTTTCCTTTAAAAATGTACTACATAACTCAACTTTAAAAAACAAAACAACCTCCTGTCACTTTCAAAATGTTCAAAAATCACGTCTTAAAGAAAAAATAAATCACGTCTTTAAAATCCATCTAAAAACCCTCTGGGTAAGAAGCAGCAGCGGAACCATAGCTTGGGGAGGAGTGGAGAAAATGAAAAGTGGTCTCAGAAGAGATGTCAGTCATCTTTAAATGAAAACAAATGGTTTGTGTAGTTCTAAATGAGCCGAGACCAGCCCTCTGCACTGAACTATTCCTTGGCTTCTTATTTTTCCTAGAACACAAACTTCTTACCATAATTCACAAGGCCTCACTTCTGGCTCCTACTTACAATCTCAGTGTTTTCTCACACTCTGGTCTCACTGTTAACTAGAAAACATAAAGCTCTTTCCTGCCTCAATGGCTTTGGTCTTTTTTTTTTTTTTTTTTTTTTTTTTTTTTTTTTTGTCTTTTTCGTTTTTATCGGTACCAGGGATAGAACTCACAACTGCCTGCTTGCAAGGCAGGCGCTTATGCCGCTGAGCTAAATCTCCAGCCCCCCCACCCTTTTTTTTTTTTTTTAATACGGAGCTACTGGCTGTTGCTTGGCTACTTGTTAACTTAACCACCTGCAAGAAACCTTTCACCAGTTTAAGTAGTTCCCTTCGTGTTTCTATCACAGCCCTGTGTATTTACTTGCTAGCACAGAGGAATCCTCTAATTTAGTTGTTGGTTTCCCTTCAATGGAATGCAAATGCCAAGAGCTGGACAGTCTTGCGTTTCTAAGTTCACCGCGTATCTCCACAATTTACAGTACAGTACAGAGTACTGTACAGAGCCTGTACAGAGTAGATGGGTATGTTTTCGAAGGGGTGAAAGGAACATGGAGAAAACTTTCAAAAGACTACGTTATCAAAGCTGCTCCCGCACTACAAGTCATCTTCGAGGGGGTGCAAGTGAAAACTACATTCCTCACTTCTGAATGAGTGATTAGGGTGGATTAGGTGATTGGGATTGTTGAGTTCTAAGGTCCTCTTCCACTGGGAACTTCTGATTTAACTGCAGAGAGGAACAAGCCCTGAAAACACGGATTACAGCCGGGGTTGCTCAAGCATCGCGGCAGGGGCAGCTTTTCATTGGTTTGTAAATTTTGGGCAAAGAGAGAACAAGCAGTTGGAGAGAAACTACACTGAAGATTCTGTATTTGTTAGTACTAGGAGTATGGTGAGAGGAGTGTCAGGATCGACGCAGGTAAGGTCATGGAGCACTTGGGCACCTGTGAACTATTTGCTTGTATCTTTCAGGGCAGAACAATACACCCGTGCGGTCACTACAAGGGGAACACAAGCGCGCCAGAATCGGTACAGGAGTAGACGCAAACGTCCCCGAGCCCCTCCACCTATATTCTGTACGGGGTCGGGGCGGTGGGGGGGGGGGCAGCGCAGGCGCACAAGTTCTTCCCGGCGACCCCCACCCCCACCCCCGGAATCTTTAGAGCCTGACGCCCGACCGGACGTGACGCACGGGGGCACGTCCAGACGCACCAGCGGAGCGCTAGAGGGCGTGTCCAGGCGGGGAGCCGAAACTCTAGGGGGCGTGTCCAGGCGGGGCAGCCGAGTACCGAGCATTGGGAACGGGCTGCGGGGGAGGGGCGGAGAGGGTTGCAGCCCAGCTGTGCCCTCTGCAGGTGGAAGCGCCGTCCTAGTGTTCTCACCGCAGCCACGATCACCTCGCTGAAGCAAACTTCAGGTATAGCTATTTACTTTCCTGTTCAAGAGTTTGCACCAGCGCAGAGTCCTTTACCTGACACTCGTGGCTTTGAATAGTGCAGCCACTACTTACCTCTCGAGCTGAATCTGCCACACAGAACTACAGTACTCTTGACCCCTACAAACCCTACACTCGTCAGCTTGCTGCACAGGTTTCTCGACGCGTGGAACGCCTGGAACCCGCTCTCTCTGGACGATCCCTACGACACACATCGCGTCCAGGCTCACCGCCATGGTCTCTGCCCCAGGCCGGATGCCTGCCCTTGAACTTCAGGTCGGACGGGCACAAAAACTACATTCAACCATGAGCAGGGTTAACACCATCTCTCATCTGACGCATAGCCACCCTTCATTGTTTTTCTCACTCTTCCTTATCAAAACTTACCCTCAACACCGTTTATGCAAATGTTGCAGTATGTAATCAGAAAATACACTGAGGTAAAAGCGGCTGAGAAAGCATGGAATGCCAATCCTTTACTCACCTTTAGCTACTTTGAGAAAAACACCCCCCTTCTTTCCTCTAGTCCTCTCCCTCTGTCGTACCCCTCCATCCCGTTCTTTCTTCCCTCTGCGCTCCCCTCCCTTTCCAAAAATGGTGGGTGGCAGGGTACACACAATTGGAAGAGAAGATCAAAGGATCAAGATAATCGAGAGTATTCCTTGGGCTTCTTTTGCAGGCCCCTACAGGGTCCAGTTTTTGTTGGTTTGTTGTTGCAGTTTTGTTTTGTTTTGCAAAAGCTTCTTCGCCTTGATTCAAATTGAAAAAAAAAATCCTCACAAAGCCATCGCACTCAAATCTAATACAAATTGAATCAAATTCCCAACATAGTTTGTCACAAATGTGATAAACTCAATCCAAAATTAAAAGGAAGAGGATAATGCTAATTTTCCTTTAAAAAATGAAGGCGAGGGTGGGGGGATTTGATTTAGGAGATATAAATACAGTATTGATTGTTTAGCTAGAGTAATTAAAACAATGAACGAATGGGTCAGTCGAGGGTCAGATATAATGGAAACCTAATTTATGATACTGTAATCCTTACAAATGCATGGAGAATAGATATGCACAGAAAAGAAATTACATCACTCATTCCTACACAAAGCAATCCCATTGGATTAAAATTTTAGATGCAAACGGCATGATGAACATACCTGAGATCCAAGCACCCTGAGAGGCTGAGGCAGAGGGTGTAAATTCCAGTCCAGTCTGGGCAATTGAGCAACTTAGATCCTGTCCCAAAATGAAACAAAATAAAAATGTTAGGGGTGTAGAGCACTGTGAAGGTCTTGGGCTCAATCTCCAGAACGGGAGGCGAGTTCAGGGGGTGAGAGGTTAAGTGCAGAAAGCATAATTTTAAGACTATGAGGAAAATAAAATTTAGAACTTCTGTAAGTCAAAATATGCTATAAAGCAAGTGTAAAGATGAGACATAAACTAAGTGCAAGGACTCACAAAGCATATAACCAAAAAAGGATAACCAGAACAGGTAGTTTACTCTGAGAAAACAGTGATTAGATGTTCATCTCAGTGGTCAGGGAAATGCAAGTTAAGACCACAAAAAAGCCTGGTACAGGGACACATACCCGCAGTCCTAACTACCATGCTCTATAAACTGAGGCAGGAGGATTTTTCCAGACCAGAACAAGACAAAAACAAAATAATAATTTTTAAAGTTCTCAGTTATATATTATTGTTTGCTTACTGAGTTGACAAAAAAAAAGTTAATACTAAGCTTTAGCAAGGAAATGGAGCAACTAAAATTCTAATCCAGTTGCAATAGGAAAATAAATGCTGACTATTTACCTTTTCTTAAAAAGGCATGCCATATATAAACTAGCACATATACCTACCTCCCTGTATCTAAGTATGTATCAATCCACCATCCAGAGAAACCCTTCAACCAAGAAAGACCTCAGTGTATTCTTTGTACCAGCATAAGCAGTAAAATGCACTGACTGTGGGACACTGAGTGGCAAAAGTGAATGAGCCCCATCTGTGTACACCGACATAGATAACTCTTAAGACATAATGCAAAGATACCCACTATGTGATTCACCATAAAACAAGTAGAATTAAATTAGATGCGAGAATAGAATTCAATTGTATTCTTGTGGAGTCCAATCTTCAAGGTGTCCCAGCGCCTTGCCTTCTGGTGTACATACCTGGTATACACCCCACTCCCATATTGAAGAGATATTCAATATTCCTATTCAGCAATCAATCTGCAAACTAATGTGACTTTAGTGTCTGAGGTTCCACCTTCCCAGGGAGGCCTGCAGCCACTTAGACTCCTGTAATCTGGAATAGCTTCTCAGTCTTTTATTCTCTTTTATGATATTGACATTTTCTTAAGACAGCATTCCTCTCTCTCTCTCTCTCATATATATATGTATATTGTATATACATAGAGGTGGTTGCATTGTTCTGGTTTTGTGAGACAGGGTCACACTATATAGCTCAGGCTGGTCTTGAACTCACTATGTAGCCCAGGCTGGCTTCAGCATCTGATCTTCCTGGCTCAGCCTCCTGCTAGTATTACAGGTGTAAGCACTATCACCAGTTTATCATTTTTTAAAATTAAGCCATCTTTGCAGGTAAAAAGTGACATTCCATTGTGATTTTAATTTGCATTTCTCTGATGGATGTTGAGTATCTTTTCATGTGCTTACTGGTCATTTACATATCTTCTTGGGAATACTGTCTGTTAAGATCATTTGCCCATCCTTTAATCGAACTGTTCTTTGTTTCTTTTTCTTTTTCTCACTGAATTGTCTTTTTATACATTCTGGATAAACGTTGCATATCTACTAATTTATGACACTTTCTCCCATTCTGTTGCTTGGCTTTTTTTTTTCCTTGATAATGTCCTCTGAAGAACAAAAATTTTTAATTTTGATAACATTTGTGTGTTTTTTGTTGTGGTCTCTTGTGCCTTTGGTGTTGGGTGTAAGAAGGCTTGGCCTTACGTAAGGTCATAAAGATTTACTCCTACACTTCTGTCTCAGAGTTTCAGCTCTTATGGTCAGATTATGATATATTTGAGTAAATTTTGCGTATAATAAACGTAGATCCTTTTGCACATAGAAATATACTGGTCTCAGCACCATTTGTTGAAAAGACTATTCTTTCTTTTCCCATTGACTTGTCTTTGCATCACTATTAAGTATTAATTGGCCATAAGAATCAAAGTTTATTTCTGGACTGTCAATTTTATTTCATTAATCTCTGTCTGTTTATCCTTATACCAGACCACACTGTCTTGATCATTGTAGCTTATAATTTTTGAAATCAGGAAATGCAGTTCTTCCAATTTTGTTATTCTTTTTCAAGAATGTTTTGGCTATTCTGAATCCCTGGTAATTTCCTATGAATTTGAAGATCAGATTAATTTCTTCAAAAATAGCAGATAGAATTTTAACAGAAATTGTGTTGATTCTGCCAATTAATTCTGTAAGTATTGCCTTCCTAATAATATATTTTTAAAAATTATTTTTATTGGTACATTTTAGATATACACAATGATAACGTTCATTGTAGGAAAGTCATAGCTTTACGTGATATATCCTAATTCTTCTTTTCCTTTTTAACGTTATGAAATACTGGGGCTGGGGACTTAGCTCAGCAACATAAGCGCCTGCCTTGCAAGCGTCCAGTAGTGAGTTCAAGCCCCAGTATTGATTTAAAAAAAAAAAATGAAATACTGTCCTATAAATGCAGGCAGCATAAGCTGTCTTCCATTTATGTAAGTGTTAATTTCTTTCAATAATGGCTTGCAGCTTTTATAGTATAAGCATTGCACTTGTCTTCTTAAATGTCTTCCAAATGTCTCTCTGTCTCTCTCTCTCTGTTTCTCTCTCTGTCAAGCAGTAGTGGGCATGGAAGCCACAGCCTTGCACACATTTGGCAAGTGCTCCTGAGCTACAACCCAACCAGCTTCTGCATTCTTTTTTTTTTTTTTTAAGCCTTTTGCATTCTTAACTCCACCTCAGCATCTGCTTCCCAGAGGACCCAACTGATACATTTGTAAGTTAGCATTGTTTTTATAGGATATCAACCGATCTTTTTAATAATGGTGTGTCCATATAAATAGCTCAAATTCATTAATAACAAAATACACAACTTTCCAAACTGATTACCTTTCCAAAATATATGCAAAACTTGGTATGGCTCTGAATCTGTAAGGAAAGAGTAAATAGCTTGTTCTACTTTGGTTATATTTTTTGTTTGTTTTGCTTGCCTTTGTTGTTTGTTTGTTTGTGTCATGGTCGCACTATGTAGTCCCAGGTGATCAAACTCATGGTCTTCCTGCCTCAGTCTCACTAGCATTGAAATTACAGGCCTTCACACGCATCCAGCTTGATTATGTTTTTTCTGTTTTTTGTTATTCTTTTGGTACTGAGAATCAAACTCAGCACTCAGGCTTGCCGGGCAGGCACCATACCACTGAGCTATACCCCTGGACCCACTATGTCTTTTAAAAATTGAATTTATGTTTGATAAATATGACTTAGGCATATCTGCTCTTGGTTTCTAAGAGACACTCCCTTTATTTTTGCCCAATAAACTACCAACAATTCTTTTAAAAAGAAAGAGGCAAAAAATAAATATGAAAACAATATCACATCATTCCTTGTGCAACAGCTCATTTCCCTAAGTCTTTGAAATTTATTCGTATGTATGAGATTTTGAAGAGAGCACCAGGAATGCAGTTTCATGAGGAGGGCATTAAAGGCTTTTCTCCTTGGGGAAAAATATTATTGCTTCAGAATTTTTTTTTCTTAACTGAAAAAATTGCCTTGATTTATGGAGGGCAGAGTTTTTGTTTTCTTCACTTCAACACAGAAATTAAAACTAAGCCAAGCAAACTTGGGAATGGAAAACAGTAATGACGAAAGAAGAACTGAATTTTAACTTAGCTAAGGAAAGCAAAAAGGGTTTGGATTTTTGGTTTTGGTTTTGTTACTAGGACTTCAGCGGAAGTCATTCTCAGGAACTATTTTGTTTTAGTATTTTTAATTGTTCATTGATTTAGTTCGGTGGATCTACTGTGATGCTGAACCAGGGACAGGAAAGCGACGGGGAGGTTGTGTGCTGAACAGATCTAGAGCATTTCTCCTAAATTTATTCTTGGTTGTCATCAACTTTTGTTCTCCTTTGAAATGAGATTGTAAAATTATACTTGTATCTGCTCATTAGTGGGTTAGAGAAAAAGCACTGCTTTTTGTATAATTGGCTTAAGCCTGGCCACCTGACTGTACTCTTTTATTGTTTTCAATAGTTTCCTTTTAAAATATCTCTCATTCTCTATAAATTCAGTCATCTTGTATAAAAATTCACTGATTCTGCCTCCAGCCTTTTCATAAACGCAAGGGCCCAAGCCTGAGGATTCAGGAGCAGTTTCTGGACCCCATAAGCACTCTGCCTTGACCCAGATTAGGAAAGCAGCCATCACTGATGCCTAAAGATGCAGAATCAAGAAGTCCTCTGCCAAATTAATAAGCTGGCTGTGGACCAGGCCACCTCTGCCTCCTCTGCGCCAGTAAAGCCGATGCTGTTTGCACCATCTCACGCCACAGATGACTCAGTTCCAAGTCAAAGCCTCGTCTGAGTGCTTCTGTTGGTGATATCCAAATCACACCTTGGGGCCTCGCTAAGGAGACTCTGAAAAATACCATTTTTAAGCTTCTATCTGCATTCCTTCTAAACTATGACAATATCCAATATCTGCCATGACATTCTTTAGCATACCTAGAAAGTTTCCTTCTGTTTTTTAAAAATTTTCTACAAACTACACATAATATGAAATTCATATTTTAGCTATTTGTAAATGTGCAGTTGAGTAGTGTTTAGTTTATCCACATTACTGTACAAGGAATCTGGAGAACTCTTTTCATCTTGCAAAACTGAAACCCTGAATCCATTAAATGACTCCCCATGTCCACTTCTGTCAGCCTCTGGTTAACACCATTCTTTCTGTTTCTTTGAATTTGACTATTCTAGATAACTCAAATAGAACCACTCTGGACAGTCATGTGTCACCTAAAGACAGGGAGGTGTTCTGGGAAATATGTTGTTGGGCAATTTTGTCATTGTTCAAACATCACAGAGTATACTTCAATACAGTGACTACAGCTTCACTGGGTGTCATATTATGGGGCCACTTTCCTAGTGGTCTCTCTTTGATCAAACTGTTGTTAAATGGCACATTTGTCTTTCTGTGACTGCGTTATTTTCCTGATCACAACGTCCTTAAAAGTCATCCATTTTGTAACATGTGTCAGAATGTCCTTCCTTTTCAAGGCTGAATAGTATCCCATTGTATGTGTTTACCACATTTTATTTATGCATTCATGTGCCAGTGAATGTTTGGGTTGCCTCTACCTCTTACCTGTCGTGAATAATGCTGTGATGAACCTGGTTGTAAAAACCTCTTAGAGGCCCTGCTTTCATTCATTTTGTGTATATACCAAGTCTTCTCTTTCTTTTGATGTAAAAACTTTGAAAATGAAAGAATTCCCAGATTCTATTAAACTATTTTTCAGCGTCTCTGGCAGGTCATAGCTTTCTTGTTTTTTTTTTTGTTTTTTTTTTTTTGTCTTTTTCATTTTTATCAGTACCGGGGATCGAACTCACGACTGCCTGCTTGCAAGGCAGGTGCTTATGCCGCTGAGCTAAATCCCCAGCCCTGGACTGTAATTATCATAGAATTTCTAGTACTACATTTTGTGTATGTGTGTGTAATGTCATTTTTCACCCTCATTCCTTTAGCATGTATCATAAGATACTTTAGTTTAAATCAGTACTAAGTATTCTTAATTTTATATGATATCACTTAATCTTTTTTTTCAGTACTGAGTAGCCCAGGGACTTACACATGCTCTGCCTCTGAGATACAGCACAGCCCACATCATAGCACGTAAGTGATGAGAGGAAAACATTACCCATGAGTTTTACCACCTTCTGAAGAAGGGATTGTTGCATTTTTTGGGTTATTTTCAGAACAGTTGTATTGTGTTAGGCCAAGCTGTGTGAACTTGTTATTATTCTATTTAAAGATGAGTTATCGTTTAAGGAGAACATATATGTGTCAGGTTGGCAGAGGGCAGGCTTGTGGTGGCTAATTTTAGACATCAGCCTGACTCGGGTAAGGCATGCCCAGACAACCAGTAAACATTATTTCTGGGTATGCCTGTGAGGGTGTTTCTGGGAAGGACTAGCATTTGAACTGGTGCCCTGAGTAAGAAAAAATCTGTTTTAACCCAGTGTGAGTGAGTACCATCCAATTGTTGGGGGTCCAGATACAACAAAAAGACAGAGGCAAGATGAGTTTGATCTTCCTTCTCTGTGATACCTGTTTACTCCTGCCATTGGACATGATAATCCCATGTTCTCAGGCTTCTGACCTCAGGATTTAAACCAGAGGCCATCTAGTCTGCACTGAAGATTCTCTCATCAGCTGTCCTCCTCCAGGTCCCACCATGTTCTATGTTTTTTTTTTTTTTTTAAGGTAGTAAAATACAACAGAACAAGACAGAACAAAGCCAACTGAGGCCGTGTAGTGAAATTGGTACAGAACCTCACCGCAGGTTACCGGGGTAACAGCAATAAGTATGACAGTGTATCTTGTTATCTTCACAGTGGTTGTTCTTTCAATCACATATAGGAAAATAAAATGAAATACAAAACATTACAGAACTTATCAAAACAGAATATTGAATAGAGCAGTACCATTAATCAGAATAAAGCAAAACAGTAGTAAAAATATTTGCCTTCAAAGAGAAGGAAATCCCCCTTATTTGCTATAGTGCATATGGTCAGCCTCCCAAGAGATGCTCAGATCTCTGGTTCCCATTTGCTAACAGGGGCAGGGGAAGTGCGATGCTTGGCTCACTATTGCTTACCAGGGAGGCCAGCTGTTGCTTGGTTTACCAACATCCTAAGTTCCAACATGGTGCACATCTCAGGAGACGCAGGTGGCTCTCCCCCTGGAAGGGCCACAGTCTGCCACACTGCCGCTGCTTACCAGGGAGGTGAGCCGCTTGCTTGGTTTCCCAGGGTTCTAAGTTCCAACATGGCGCAGATCTCAGGAGACGCAGGTGGCTCTCCCCCTGAAGGGGCTGCAGCCTGCCACACCACAGCCACTTACCAGAGAGGTGAGCTGGTTGCTTGGTTTCCCAGCACCCTAAGTTCCAACATGGTGTGGCTCTCAGGAGACGCTGGACGGCTCTCCCCTGGGAGCAGCCGTAGCCAATGTTCTATGGTCTTTGGATTCAAGGTTATACTTTTGGCTGCCTTAGATCTCCAGCCTGCAGATCTTATACCATATACCTATTTACCATCCATAATCACACAAGCTAATTCCCGTAACGAATCCCCTATCTCTTTATGTGTTTATGGTTCTGTTTCTCTGGCGAAGCCTGGCTACTACAGTTTGATGGGGTCCGTATCCTCTTTCCTCGAACCTGAGCAAGATCTTTGTGACTGCCTGGAGGTACAGACTGGATATAAAAACACAACACAGGTCTCTCTGAACACATCATCCATACTGTAAGAAAACTCAGATTGACCCACCGAGAGACACCTGGAGGAGCCTTGACCATGCGCATGTTTCCCATCTGACCACCTAGCTGAGGTCCTAACCAATGGCCAGCATCAAGAGCCAACCAAGTGAATGGTGCCACCTCCTGATAATTCTGTTTCTCAGCCATCAGGGCACTCAAGACTTGAGTCTTCCCAGCTGAAGCTGCAGACATTGTAGAACACAGATAAATTGTCTCTGCTGTGCTCTGTTCTGATTCTAATGTGTTATTTTTTTGTCTTACTTTTGTTCTTTTTGTTTTGTTTTATGCTATGGGTTGTGTCTAGATGTCTCCCCAAAGCTTCATGTGGTCATAAGTGGGGCCTTTTCAGAAGTGGCTGGATCTAGAGTGTGTGACGCTGATTGTACAGTGCTAGGATCAAGGGCACCAGGATTAAGGTGTGGGTGCCGCCCACCCTAAGTAACCCAGATAAGACAAAAAGGGTAGAAGGACACTATTAAGGTCCTGGCTTGCTTTTGCTGTCTTCTGCTTGCCATGAATTTATTCTCCTCTGCAATGCCCCTCTGCCAAACCACCCTGTTTTGGAGCCAGTCAACCATGGCCTGAAACCTCTATAAACTATGAGCTAAATAACCCTTCCTTCCCTGAACTTGTGGGCGTTGGGTATTTTAAGAAAAGTAACTAAAACATTTTGTTTTCTGATTATTGACTCACAGGATCCATGAGTATGTTGTCTGCTTTATGACACAAAACTTCAGGTCGACTTACTGCCAGCAATAAATAACTGAGAGCCGTATCTAATGGCATGATCATTTGGTTATTCTCTCATCTTTTCAGGTAAATTTCAGCCTTCATGGATTCCTGGAATAAATTTTTCTCACTTGTGTTGTTTTACTCGATTTGCAAGCTTTTGGGTTTGGTTTGCTAATGTGTTCGAGATGAATACTTAATATTTGAGAACAAAATCACTCTCCGTTGACTGTGCTCTTGAAGGGGAAGCAGCATAATTCTTTTTTTTTTTTTTTTGTCTTTTTCGTTTTTATCGGTACCAGGGATCGAACTCACGACTGCCTGCTTGCAAGGCAGGCGCTTATGCCGCTGAGCTAAATCCCCAGCCCCTAATAATTCTTATTTCAAAAAGTCTAGCCTCAGAGACATTCACTAGTTGTGTCTGCATCTGGGCATCTGGGCGTCTGGCCTGCGCTAGAGGGCATGGATTGGTGTCATGGCTTCTCCTTTCCACAGGCTTCAAAAGGGCTTCAGTATCACCCACCGACCGACGGAATGTCTGGCAAACTCCATACAGCAGCCTTGGGAACTCCTCTTTTATATCGTTTCCTCTTTTTTGTTTATTTTTGTTTTTGCAGCCCTGGGAATCAAACTGGGCGCCCTGCTCTAGCTAAGCAGGCACTCTCCCACTGAACTGACAGCTAATGAATATATTCACTCTGGGAAGTGGGTACATGGTCATTCACATCTTAACCCTTTTTAATTCCCCTTCCCCTGGCCTCTTTCTCCTCTCCCTCCATCTGCAAATGGTCAACCTCACTATTTCCTGTTATCTCTTTTATTTTGCACTTTAAATTATTATGTGGGTTTCTCATATTTATCCTTTTGTGTCTGGTTTATTTCACTTAGTATTATGGTTTCAATGTACATTCATTGTCCTACAAATGATTCAAATTTATCCTTTATAGCAAAGTGGTAAATAGTATATATTTATTTTCATTTATCCACTTATTCCATGCCATTTTTTTTGTTCATTTGACTTTTTTGTTTTGTAATCAAATCATTCTATTCCATTTTTACTATGAAGACCATGTTCTGTCATGTCAGGCTGCCTTTCTCAAAGAACTGTCTTGGCTATGAGCAAAGAGAATTGTTTTTAAATTGTTTTTAAGTTGTTTTTAATTGTTTTAATTGCTAAAATCATCCCTTACATTATAATTTAGGAAGCAGATATTGATATCCCCATTTCTCTGAGGACAAAACTGAGGCTCAGTCAGTTTACACACTCTACCTGACGTCACCCAGTGTGGAGCTGTGGAAATGCTTGCCACATAAGAGCATACTCTACCATATGTCCATCTCAGTGCCCTGAAGCATCAAGGACTGTATGGACACGTACTGCTGTTTAAGATTTACCTGTTTGAAAATGAGAGCTTTCAAGAGAGAAGTTCTAACAGCTTTATTCTTTTTAATCTTTCAAAGGACACCACTGTGGAAGGCTGTTGTTAAGGTCCAGTTGAGGGTGATTGGCAGGCTGTGACATGAAAGGTCACCTTGCTCAATCCTGTTCTTGTTCTTCAGCATTTGCTTTCAGGAGGTAGGTACAACTATTAGTCACCCTTCAAACTCCTACCTTTCCAAGGTAAAATAGAAATGTGGACCCTTGACCTAAGTTTGCTAAATACAAAACACTGCTTGTGTTAGATGCTTGTGATATACGCAGGTACCACCCTAAAACATGAGACCCGCACCGAAGCTCACAAAAATAAGGTCCCTTCAAATGAATACAATCAGGAAAACAAACAAACAAACATTTTATCAATTTAAAATTATTTAAGTTACATAATAGGATATTTTCTTAAAGCAAATAAATACATATTCCCATGTGCACTTTGGAATGTCTTTAATGATGAGTCTCCCTGTGTTGTCTGTAATTATCACGGAATGCAGGTCAGTCCAAGACTGGACATATTTTCCCCTCTGGGTCCTCCATCTGGCACACCTGGCTCTGGCCTGTGGGCTGAAGGTGCATTCCAGTGAGAGTTCAGACCCTAGGGGAAGGCCTGAAGAGTGGTCACAGCCTTTAGGGCTCCCCTTTGCCCTCCCTTCCTGGCTTTGCCACTAATCGCTGTGAGAGAGGAGGACAAAGGTATTTAACTGGGTAAAAGAGCAGGAAGCAGGGGAGAGGAGGCAGTGCTGACTGAAACATGGGATAAAAATATATGAAACCGTTTAGCCCAGAACTGCATAATTTCAGCTTTATCAGCTTTGCTAAAAGTGGTATTTATAGTCCACTTGCAACATAAGGGAAAATGAAAGCGGGCCTGTTCCTGTGGCCACCCTCTCCTTCCCCACCTGACACACAGGCAAGGCCTTCAGGCTACCCTGCGCCCTGTGCTGCCCACACCGCTGGCCTGGCCGCCTCTGGTTTAGCTCCCGCTGCCCAGGGTCCTTCCCCAGCCCTTCGCTGGCTTAAGTCTGAATCCTTATGCCCTCATGGGTCACGATGCCACACAGCCTGCCATCTGCATGACACCCAGCGCAGGCCTTCTCTTCTGTGGGGCGCCGCCCTTTCCCATGTGGCCACCCAGGTGTCCTGGGCTCTCCAGGCGATTCCTGCAGGACAGGCAAGGGCTGGAAGGCGGTCTGCACCCTGCCAGTGATGCCTGTTGTGCTGAGGCGCCATTCCTCAGGACTGCCTCAAAATTAGCATAGGGAGTCCATGTAGGAGGGAGCCTGGGGCCTGTGTAAAGCTGAATTGAATGGTGTTTATAACACCTAGCAAAGAAACATGTTTTCTGATAAGGTCTCTCCTTTAATCTTATCATTGCACAAACAATTTTACAACTGTGGTTTTACCTCTAGCAAGAAAATAATGTGCAGTTCTAAAGAACCAAGTTAATTTCTTTCTGCAGAGTAAAGTCATTCTGAGTCCTCTACATAAAGCAGAGTGACTACAGCAAACATTAATTTTTAACTTGTCTTAAAACACTAATCTTTCACATTCCTTTAAAATCTATATTGCTAAGACAAGCGTCTTTCTTAGAAAAAAAAAGTATGATGCAATGTTATAAAAATAATTTCCACTAGAGGTGGCAGATTGCTATCTACTGATTTCATAGTGACATGATTCAGTAATTTCCAGCCTAATTTCTTCAGGGTTTGGAACCCTGTCACTAGGCCCATGGAGAACACTAAATTTGAGTTTATTTTTTATACATAGAGGGAGTAGGGCCTAAAGAAAAATTGGGTACTTTCCAACAGTCAAACAAATCTATTCATAATAGCAACAAAGTTAGAACCATTGGCAAAGTCTCAGGACCAGAAAACAACACGATCTGAATAAAGTGGTGGCACTTTCTACCACTTTTACTGTTGTTTGGTTTTGCTTTCTTCTAAACATTTATTTTTAAAAACCCCAGAACTGGGCATAGTGACACACCTGTGTAATCCTAGCTACTCAGGAAGCTGAGGGCAGGCAGATCAGAAATTCAAGGCCAGCCAGGGCAACATAGTGAAATTCTGTCTCAAAATAAAAAGAGAAGAAAAAATGTTGTTTGTGTGAATATCTTGTTCTTCAACAACTCATCATCTGTTTGTTTAGATCAGTAGTTCTCAAAGTGTGGCTCTGAATTTGATATCTCCTGGAGATGGATAGAAACACATTCTATACCTGACCCCAGAGCTACTGAGTTATACATTCTAGCAGGGGCTGCCAGTAATTTTTTTTCTTTTTGAGACAGGGTCTTCCTAGGCAGTGTAGGCTGGTCTTGAACTCGCTATGTATCTCGGGCTGGCCTTGAACTCTCAATGATTCTCCTGCCTCAGCCTCTTGAGTGCTGGGATTATAGACATTTGCCACCACTTCTGGCTCTATCTAGGTTTTTGCCTGTCTGCCAGCTGATTCTGCTGCACAAGATTTATATGATCCCTGTTTGACTTAAGTACCATACTGAGGTTGCAAAATGGTGATTTTCCATCATCACATTTACTTACCTTGCTGCATAATACAAGGAGACTGTGATTCTTGACCACGTATTTGCTGGCTTTTACACTGAATCTTGAGGGCAAGAAGAAAGTCTGCTGCTTAACATGTCCCTGAGGGGACTTGGTATCTACATAATGTCCTATAGAATAAATCTATTTGAGCAAGGGAAGTATTTGTCCATTTTTATGGCAGTTTACAATTATACTGATGTCCTTATGATTATTAGACAAGATGATTCCAGGTTGGTATATGTTGAAGAGTTTTGCTATGACTTTAGGTTAATTAATTCAGCGCTGAGGTTGGATCTCTGATGATAACAGAGATATTTATACATAATTGAAAAGAGCAAGCCAGAGATATTTATTTTCCATCATTAACTTGTATAGTTTTAGGAGCTACTATTGCAACACACACATATATATAGCTACTTACACAGTGTCATGCTTATTAAAGTAACCAAAACATAAAAATAAATTTGCAAAAACAATAACAGCTAACCCTTTTTAAATGATTACTACATGGCAAGCATCAGAGTAGC